TTTTTTATCCCAAATTATAATTATATATTATTTTCTAATCGTAATTCCTTCGCATTTAGCATTCTTTTTACCAGACTTCACCATACTTTAACAAATCCCCACAGTGGTCCTGTGTTATCTTTATTATGAATCAATAACAATAGAAAAAGAATTAAGTTGCCATCAGGGAAGAAGGTACCATCCAGAACTGGAATAGTATAGAGACAAAAATGTCATAATTAATGACAGGTATTCTTGGTTTATTTTACACTTCAGCAGCTATACTAGTCTGCATTTGGAAATGATTGTGAGAAATATATGAAGATATACCTAAAAAGCAAATTTTTGAATTTTTGGAAAGTTTTGCAAGAAAAGCAGTGAAGAAGGGCTTATTTATATATCTATAGTACTGGAAATTTTGTTCAAATGAATTGTTGAACCATCTTCTATCACGGGTGTCAAACTGAATTTCTTCAAGGGCTTTTGTAGTTTTCCACAGGCCGTCTGAGGGGAGGGAGATGGGCAGCACCCTGCCAACCAAAATGGGGTGTGGGGCAACCATGTGAGGGCCCTCATGCCCCATTTTCCACCTGAACAGCTTCCTGCAACACCCTGCCGGCCAAAACAGCCCCCCCTGCCCCCCATTTTGGCTGGCAGAGTGCTGCAGGCCATCCATACCGAAAACAGGACACAAAGGACTGTGTGTGCCCCCCACCCATTTTGGCTGCCAGAGGCATTGCGGGCCAGTCCTTTGCTATTTCCAGATTTAAACATCCACAGGCCAGATTTAAACACCTGTGGGCCTTGAGTTATCATTACACCCTTATCATGTTTTTATTTAACCTTGAAGGTTAAGCACTTAAGAGCATATCAATTATTTTCTGTTACAAAATAAAACCTCCAAAATATAACATGTATTTCACTCAAGTAGCTTGGAATGCATATAATCTGCAATGCATTTAGAAAAAAAAAGTATGTTTTTTTTATTAAATGTTTGGTTATCTCCAGGAAAAGATACTCCATATTTGCAGCATCTAAAATAAAAAATGCAATATGCACCAAATATCAAAAGTATGATTCCATCTAACAAGTATTGCAATCCATTTTTTCCGTGCTTTCAATCCACCAGCATACTTTTTGTGGAGGGGGGGAGGGAGAGAAAACAGGAAGTAAAATTTCCTTTATAAAAATTCAGCTTTCTATCTCTCTTGCTTATTTCAGACAAGAAGAAAGGGTTTGCAGGTTACAAAGAATTCTGGAAAAAAAAATGACTCTAAATGCAAAATATCAATCAACTGCAATGATGTAGTTTTTAGACAAAATTAGACTTGATTGGTATAAAATGTCCAAAAGACTCAGCAGTAGCTCCTTTACAAGCATACTATTTATAATGGATACATTGATACAGAATGACTTATTTAAAAAAGCAAGGCAATATTTTATAGGCATAACAATCAACATTACACTAATTCAGAAAGTACATTTTTGTAGGCTGTTTTACACTCTTATTATCAATTCACAAATTATGTGGAATCACAGAATCAGGCAGAATTATGTATCATTCTGCTTAAGACTGCAACATTGAAACAATAAATAAAATTTTCAGCTCTTTACTGAATAAAAAAGCCATCAGATTTTTCTTGCAAATATTATCATTAGCAATTGTCCTACGTGTGCGCCTTTTAATGTTGGTGTACTTTACTGCTAAGAGTATAACTAATTAAAAGCAAGTTCTGACATGCTGATTAAAGATACAAAGTTAGTGCAATGTAGGCTTTATAAATGGTCTTTTGCATTCAGGATTTTGAATAATCAGGAAACCCCCCCCCCCCCCCCCATATATAAAGAATATAAAACCATTCCAAGGTTCAATTTCAAAAATTGCCCAAGTGAATCATTCCATTTTAAATTTTGCTTGTCTTGATTGCAAGTAGATCTGTCTTCTTAGAAATGTCTGGCAAACTATTTTAGGGTGCAAAATTCTCTTCCAAACCCAGTGGTGGAATTCAGTGCTGTTTTTCTGCTGATGGCTGTCCTCCAGAATTAGGGGAAAGTGATTCATTACCTCATAGTTAAAATGCCCTGATATGGGGATGCACTCCAGAGGAGCAGTGGGAGTTCTGGTGGAGATTGGTGACAACAGTGGAGAAAATTCTGTTTTGCTAGCAAAAATTCATTCATAATCATACAATATTAGATTTGCAAAGATAAACTTAAAATTAATAACCAAATGTTTAAATAGCCATAAAGGAAGTTTACGAAAAGCCTTTTAAGACAATGATACAGTTTAACTCTTTTTCTTTAACTTGTCCCTGAATGTAGCCTATTAGTTTCTATTAAAATTCTCAGTATGATCTAGAACAAAGACATATGAACTCATTTTAAAAAGACAAATAGTGCCAATTAGTATTTCAATGTTCTAATTTATTTCTAGGTAGTAGAACTGAATTTTATTTCTCAAAGGATCATGAAGAAAATAAACCATATTTATAATTGTAACAGGCTATGCATAGTGCAAATGAAATTGAGGTTTCCTTTCTGTTTTGTTTGCCAATAAAATCCTATTACTAACAACAGCACACCAACTTAAGACTCATCCAACAAAGTACTGTATAACCAGTGATATTGACAACTATGCAATTACATACAATTAGGGAGACTTCATTTTGTTCCATAGCTGTGGAGAGGTGTGGAACCATTTTTTAATCTAAGAGCTGTACTTGATCTTTGAACAACATGTGGAAGAAGACATTACTCCAAAATTGAAGTCAAAACAAAATTTAGATTTAATATATTTAAAGATTTTTGATATGATCATTTGTCATATATTTAATAACCTCCTTCTGCAATATTAAAATTTGATAGCAACTGTTAAAAAAGGGCTGATATTTTTCCAGATATATTAAGAAATTTTCTTTAGACATTCTGAATAAATGTATGGCTGTATTCATACTAAGCCAAGATTTATTTAGATTAGGGGTTGTTGAACAGAGGCAAAACATAGTTGCGATTTTATATGAATCCAACTGGTGGTTTTTTTTTGGGTTTTTTTTTTTGCTAACTTCTTTCCAATAACCAAAAAATGGGCAAACCACAAAAACAAAGGCAAGCCACAATTTGCATTCACAGGAGATGTAAGCTTTAAACTCAAGTTCAGTTTCAAAATGTACTTTGTGGAAAAAGAAAATTACTGTTTCTTAATTGAGATGGTTTTACTAAACCAAAAATCTTCATTATTGGAAGATCCGGATTGTCTATAATCAGAATCTTTCAGAGACTTGATTGAATACATCTTAATGTTTTACCAAATGATGGATGAGTATTAGTACAAAATCTACAGGTAGTCCTTGCTTAACCACCATTTTTCCACAGGGAAAAAGTGATCCATGACTACTTGTCACACGTATGACCATTGCAGCATTTCTATGTTATATGATGATTCAGGTGCTCTCACACATTTACCAGTCATAGAATCTGCAATCATGTGATCACCATTTGTGAGCTTCCTATCTGGCTTATGACAGTCAAAATCAATGGAATAGCTGGATGGAGGTTGTAAGTAGCGGTCATGTGATATCTTGCTTAATGAACACAGATAATTTGCTTAACTATAGCAAAAAGATCAGAAAATTGGGTGCAGTCATGAGTTGCTAACAACACATTTTCAAGTCCCTATTGTGGTTGTAAGTTGAGGGCTACATGTATAGTAAACAAGAGAAAGTAAAATTCTCTACAGATATATCCTTAAATGTTTCAGTAAAAATCAAATAATCATAAAATTTCCTCTCAAAATCTGATGACCCCAATACAACAAGCCATATACTTTTCAGAAATCATACATTCAAATTTTAAAGTAAAAAATATTTTTTCTACAATGTATATAATGCTGTTTAGCCAATAATTATATTTTCTTGTAAATTTATTCTCATTTAACAAAAGCTAAATCTAAGCAGGAATTGGGAATATTATGATTTCTGTTCCAACTATCAGAATATATTTCACAATATATTCTAACATATGATTTATATTAATAAATCATACTATAAATCAAACCTGAAGCAGATTTTTCAGTTTCACTGCTTTTTAAGCTGTTTTCAGTCTTTTTTTTTTTAAAAAAAATAGCGAATAAGTAAAAGGAGTTTCTAACCTGCAAGTGATTTTTTTTAAAGAAAAATAGTCAAGTAATCCTTTCAAAGTGAACAATTACATCAATATATTTACAGATTAAACTATAAATTTAATCTGACACAATTCCACTAAGTGGTAGGTGAATCCTGCCTACTATGAGTGTACTATTCTACTTTAACTCTGTAAAAATTTACTGGGATATCTTCAATCTTTCCTGGAACAATTTTTTAACACATGGCTAAACTCTGACTTTAAAAAGTAAAAGAAACAATTGATTGGAAGATTAATTCCACCTAAAAGTGCATGTGGGCAACATATTAAATATACACATACTAAATAAATGGAACAAGTTTACAGATTCAGCAAAAAGTAGATTTTAATCTTTCAACCACCACTATAAGCATCTTTGTATTTTAACACTTCAGTATTCAAACAGATTGCTTGTAGTCAGCTGCAACTATACATCATTATCAACAAGTATCTAGGTTAATTAGATATTCATATATTTAAAGTAAGTGGTGGAAAATCGATGGTATGAATTCAGCTATACTGGTTAATAGAACTGATAAGATTGGATTCCTTTCTCCACATTAGTTTCCTGTTGACCTATGGTTTCTCCATGGAGTTTCCCAATATCTGAGAGACAAAGAGGGACACTCTTACAAAAGACACTGTTATCAATTATCTTCTTTTTTAGCCAACAATCCTAAAGGCTTGTCAAATTCAGCAATTCCCTTGAGGAGATCCTTTTACGCCTGCTTCTGTCAGCCCAATTAGTTATGTGTTCAGTCTGAATCCAACCCAATAATATTTTGCAAATCCACTGACATCTAAAATAGCCCTTTAAGATTTTATATCTCCACCTGCCTTTAAGGATTTCTGCCTTGCCTGAAATAAAATTAATGAACACTAAAATTCATGTCACATTTGAAGGCAGCTGACTCAATCTAAAAGAAAATCCACAACCACTAAAATCAATGGCTCTTACAAAACAATCTTGAGAAATATTTACTCAGACCTTATTGGTGTTTATGAGTGAAACCTTCAATGAACTGTGTTAATTTCAACAGGATAAGTAAGTATATCTAATGATCTCTGGATTGTGTCTATCAAATAGACGTCAATATCAAAATAAAATATACAAAACCATTTTCCACAAATGAAAAATTTATCTGACATCTAGAATGTGTAATTTAAAGAACACCACCTTTTTAATTCTAAGATCCCTTAAGCAAACCCATCATAATGAACTGACACAGAAAACAAATTTATCTCAAATGTAATTGCTATGTGAGCATCCAATTTGAAATGGCAATAGCAATCAAGTGCAGTAGCAAAAATCACTGCAGCATCATTAGCCCTTTGTATAGCCCTGAAAAAGACAATAAACCACATGTTTTCTATTCAATCACTTAATGGTTTTCTATTGAGTAATCACATTCTAAATACAAATGAAAAAGTGTCCTTTTTTTTCCAAACAGACCAGTCTTTAATACTGAGATTGATAGGATGAGGTTAAAAGAATAAATCATGGTACTGAACTGATTATTTTGAAGCAAGTGTCCCATCTTTACAGGGAAAAGTGCATTTAGTTCAGCAGCAAAATAGCACAGCATGAAGATATTGTGCTTTGACGCAGACACTCCATAATAATGGGAGGATGTACAAGGCAAGGCAAGATATAAAACCAGAATAACATTGTCAACCGACCATACATTTTATGTATACTGCAGGGTTTCAAAAAAGACACATTCATTAATTGCACAAAGACCAGGAAAAACCCTTACAATTATCTGTTGTGTTTCAGATCCATCATTGATGTAATACTAAATCTTAACAGAACATGGTACTTTTCTACAAATTTGTCACTTCTTTAAGTGAAAAGTGTTGCTTATGCTAAATGAAGCAACCATAAAATAATTGCTTCTTCAGTATGATATGCTTATAACTGATAAATTCAAAGGAACTCAAGCTTCTGTTGGACTTTTTTTTTCACTAACTAGTTGCTTATATTTTTGCAATAATACAAATCAGTCAATAAAAAGCCCTCAGAAGAATACAACTTCTCTCGATTCAGAAAAAAGAGTAAATTCCCACCCCACCCCACCCCAATCCAGTGACATACCCTGACTGTAAACATACAAAACCATTTGTTTTAAAACTTAAAATAAGTTAAAGGACTTTCCAGAATAAAGGAAAATACAAATAATTCCAATTTTTTTTTTGTCACAAAATGTGATTCACAACGAATGAGAAAACAATTTGTGTGACTAAGTTGCTTTTTATCCAACAGGAAAAGGCTTGGTTTAAACATATTTTCCCTTAAATTGATCAGCAGTTAATTGACATTGTTTTCAGTAAACTGGTACCCCAAATTATCCAGATAACCATCAAATTCACTAAAGAAAACTTTAACAAGCATTTATAATGAAAAAAAAATCTAAATGGCTATGTTTCCTCTAAGAGCAGGAACACATACTTGTGGTCTGAAATTTGCCTGTTTTATATTATTTATGTTTATAATATAATATACAATCTATATATTATATTATATATACACACATACACAATACTAACAGTGCAGTTTGCATTTAGTAGAGTGTATAGGACAATCCATCTTTTATCCACACTGGGCATCATGTAGCCTAGATACTATATACATAATGACACCACAAAAGCCATTTATATTTTGTACATCATTGGGGAAGATATCAGTCAGACCATGGCTCGATATGGTCCTTGCATTTTGAGAAACTGGATGATAAAGGAAGGTCCACCTGCAACAATCTGAGCTGGAAGGGTGCTGAGCGGACAGTTCTCAATGCTCATTATAGATAGCTTGCTGCAAAGAGCCAGTTCAAAAGGAAGGCTGTTTAGATGTGGGTTGTCATTTAGATACAGTTCTTCCAGATTCTCCAGTGTACCTGCAAAATAATGAGCATTTTTAAAACAAAATATATGTCATAAAATAATAAGTGACATAGAAATTACTACTGGATAATTTGTTCTTTTGTCTGTTACCAAGAACAGAAAATATATTATCCTTTGCATCTGAACAGGTCACTGAATTCAAAGCATATTTCTAAGTTTGCAATAACAGCAGTTTTTAATGTTGGCATGAAAAGAAAAATTAATAGGAATCTAGAAGGGATAAAGCCAATGGTGTGCTTATACTGGTTCATGACAGCAGATTGTTACATTTGGCAAAACACTTGACAGATGTAAGCTATAACACCTAGTATGCCGATCAGTTGTTTCACAGTTAGTGTCAACATTGGCAACAATGCCATGGACCTGTAAAGGTGGCTTTTAAACATTTACCAGCATACTACTGGATAAAACCCTTATTACATTTCTTCAACAACCTAAGGTCACTTTTCAGCTAGAAAAGTATCTTTTTGTCCTTACTGACATCCCAACTACAAAACCTTATTTTAAGATACCACTTTAAGACAAATATCTTATGACAACAATTTTTAATCAGACTTGCAAATTCCAACTTACATTTTCAAAACACTCCAATGAAACAAAATCATGCCTGCATTTGAGAAACTTGAGCATATTATGCTGTGCTAAATGTCAGAACTGATATTAAATGAATCTTAAATATCAGGATTATTTCCCATTCTGTGTGGGAAGCTCAAAAATTTTTCAGGGGCTCTGTGTTAATCAATGATGCATGATGAGGATAAAGGTGCTGCAATATCAATGGCTTTTTTTCCTGAAGACTATTACAAATTATGCAAGTTATTAAAAAAACTATTCTAGTCATATGCAAAGTGAAAAAAAAAACAGCTTGGCAGACATAGTAGAACTTTTACATACTACCTTTGTGATTCTTACATTCCCAAGATTGATCTTTTGAGTGGAAAAGAACTTAAATATAATAAATACTGCCAGATGCTGACTTACATTGAATATCTCATTGGTACATTACAGCAATATTACTCAATCTCAGCAACCGTAGATTTCATTTCTCAGGATTCCCTAACCATAGCCCAGTTTTAATGGGAATTCTGACAGTTGAAGTCCACACTTAAAGTTGCTGAGGTTGAGAAATACCGTATCAGAAGTACCTTATCAATACTGGCCCATGAATTTATGGATCATATCTTACCAATTTCCTCAGGAAGTTGTGTAAGAAAGTTTTCTCCCAGCCCAAGATGTGTCAGATTGATAAGGTGACCAATTCCTCTGGGAAGAATGCTCAATTGATTATTCGTTAGGATCAGTCTCTGTTTAAGGAATATATATTGTAATCATAAAATTAGTATCTTCCACCAAAGAATTAACAGGTATCTTATCATTAGAACAACAGCCTTTTTCTCCAACTGTCAACAAATAATGGCTACACTTGGGGCTGCATTACTCCAAAATGTTATTGACATACAAACCAGAACTGTCAAATATTCTCTAAAGTCATTGTCCATGTGTACACACATTTAAAAAAATCTTTCTTGTTTTTTACCATTTGCTATATTTATTACTCAGTATAAATTCTCACTTTTTCAAGTAAAGGGCACTCAAAGGAACTAAGTTTACAAAAGCAGTAAACATGAAAGTAAAAGAAATTAGAAAAACCTGCTAAAAGTTCTGACTGAAGAGGAAGGCTTTAACTTCTTTCATAAGGCTAAAGAGGCTAGGGCAGTGGTGGCTAACCTTTTTGGGCTCCTGTGCCCAAAATTGTGTGCGTGCTTGCATGCTCGTGCTCCCAAGCCAGCACCCAGAAGGCAATGCATGCCCCCCCATGCCCCCTACACATGCACGCGCAATCCCACCCCACCCACCCACCTGCTGCCCCCTTACCTGCACTGCGCCTCACAGCTGATTTTCAGCTGGTTTGAGGCCTTTTTCGGCCTCCCAAAGGCTTGAGGAAGGCTTCTTCAGGCTTCTACAAGCTTTGTAGGCTGAAATCTAGCCCTGTTTCATCACTTCCTGTTTTTCCAAAAATACTGGAAGTGACAAAACGGGGATAGTGAGGTAAGTTTGCCTGCAGCTCGTGTGCCAGCACAAATGGCTCTGCGTGCCACCTGTGGCACGCGTGCCATAGGTTCGCCATCATGGGGCTAGAGTTACATTTTATGCCATTCTGAGTATTTTTTAAAATAAAATTTTAACATTTATACAGTAAATGCATTTAATACATTCTATAGCTACAGAGAAATTGAGCATCTTTCTTAGTTTCTCTTCCTTATGTATTAGAAGGCATTCCCATATAACATAACAGAATTTAGCATCCAAATGGCAACTAATTTATAACATGGCAGTTTTTTTAAAAAAAACAACACAAAATCCAGTATGATATAGTGGCCAAAGATACCAGGCTAAAAACAAAATGACACAAAGGCAGTCAATCAATCAATCAGGAAGGCATTTATATATACTTTGAATTGGACAAAATATTCTATTCCATGTAATTATTTTACCTGCAGATCCCTAAGGTATGCTATTTCATTTGGCAACGATTCCAGCTTATTTTCCTCTAGATCCAATTCTCTCAGTTTCCTCAAATTTCCAATGCCATGTGGGAGGTTTCTTAGGAGATTATTTGACAAAACAAGAACCTAAAATAAAATTAACAGAACATTTAATGAGCTGGCAGCCATACATTAATGGCAGAATAAGCTAAATATTTTTTTAAATAAAAAGAGCTAGGGACTGTTTACTATTAAACTTTAATGCCATATTGGCTCCAGCAAATATGACTTGTGAAGTAAATAAATATTCTTTATTGGGCAAGAATGAAGAAAAACATTTTTCTGGAAACTATAAAAGATCTGTGGAAAAGTTTACATTTTCACATTCCTATCAACAGATTTTTACTTTTATAAGAATGGTTTTTCATGAATAATTTAATCACAAAAGCATTTAAATTATTTTGTGCATGTAGTAAAGAATTTATATATATATACTTTTATCCTACAGAAATGGATAAGAATAGAGAAAGGGCAGGGCAAAGACATAAAGATGAGAAAGGAAGGCAAGTGTTTATATACATACCAATTACAAGGAATGTATATCTTTTATGAGTTGAATGGGAAATAAGGAGAGAATAGATAAAAATATTCCCTCCATAAACCACTTCCCATACTCACACACCCAAGCTTAAATTCTTTGTTAGAATTCATATACAAAGTTATACAATACATTCATTTTAGTTTTACCAAAAAAAAACCATACCCAACTGAACAGGTAGTTCTTGACTTACATCCATTGCCTAATGACCATTTATGGTCCTCCCCAGAATTATTTAAAATATTTCACAAATTAGATGGGGGAAATTTTGTTTTCTTTCTTTTATGGAAACAAAAAATAGATAGAAAGATTAAAGGTTTATAGATCTTAGGTGTCTTTTTCTTAAAATAGGCTCAAATAATATAAAAAGGATTATTTACATTTGATTGAGTTAAAGAATACCAATATTGTGGTAAACTGGATCATTAAATAATAGAGAGAAAGATTAAGGGTTTATAGATGTTGGATATCTTCTTTTTATGTAAGGTTTAAATAATATAAACAGGATTACATTTGATTGTGAGAAAGAATATCTAATATTGTGGTAAATTGGATTAATTGGATTAATATGACCAATGCTCGGAATCAACACTGTTCACACATAATTTGGATGAATATTAAAATAAAATAGAAAGGGAGAGGAGGAGAGGAAAAGAGAGAAGGAAGAAAAGGGAAGTGGAGAGGGGAGGAGAAAGAAAGGGAAGAGGGAAGCAGAAGGGAGAAGGGAGGGAAGGAAAAGGAAAGAGATGGAAAGAGATAGACTGTCAATGAAAAATTAAAAATATGAGGAGAGGGGAGAGGAGGAGAGAGGAGAGGGAAGTAGAGAAGGGAGAGAGGGAGGTATAGGGAGGAGAGGGAAAGGAAAGAGGGAAGGAGACGGAAGCGGAGAGGAGAAGGGAAGGCAGGGAAGGAGAAGGAAAGAGACAGAAAGAGATGGATTGTTGATGTATAATTGAAAATATTTGTATTATAAAGCAAAATGCATAATAACTTTTTTAAAAAAATATGGTTTCAATGTTTTGACAGCCAACCCTACCCCTGTGGTCAATGGCAACTGGCTTGCATTTTCAGCCTTATGTAGGGTCCCATGATCACATTACCACAATATGCTTTTTTTGCAGGAAACTGATATTTACTTTCAGTTTTCAGCAAAAAAAAAAAAGCTGACTGGGTACAGTGAAATTGCTTAAAGAACACTATGATCATTGAATGACCATAGCAAAACATGTCATAAAATTAAGCTTAATGACCCCCATGATTTACAAACATAATTCTGGACTCAGTTACAATCATACATTGAGGACTACCTGTATATCATTATATATTCACCATACAGGGAAATAAAAACTTGCTGATTAAGATAATTTACTAGCTATATCTTCTCTAGGCTCAAATAAAACTAAATCATATTGTGCACAGCGTAAGTACTGATGTGGGACAAATCTGGTATGAAGTTTGTTTAAATAACCCTTCCAAAATTAGGTTGTTTCAGAGTATATTTGTTAGTTTCATCAATTAACAATAAATATATCAAGATTGGTCAGGTTCCTTAGAATCTTTTATATTCTAACGTTTACCACCTCAAGAGAAACAAGCCCAGATACATCCTCAGGAATTTTGTTGAGTTGATTTGTAGCTAAATTGAGTTCCACCATGCTGGTCCATGTCCCAAAATCCAGGGGAAGTGATGTCAGCTGATTGTCCTGTAATTTAACATAAAGTAAGTTTAGGATTTTTTTTCTAAATTAAGAATAATAAATTGTAAATGATATTCAGTTAAACACATAAAGAACATAAATTTCACTATATTCTCACAAAGAAATAATAATTACAAGGGCTTGGAGTTGTTTTTTAAAGAAATGTTCACAATGCAATTTAGTCAAGGACAGGATGCATTCTACATCTCCAAAAAAGAAGGCCTTGAGGAGTATCAATGTTAATTGAATGTCCTACTGATTCTAAAAAAAGAACCAGTTTAGTGTAATTGTAGTCTTATCGCCCATATAACTGCAACAATTAAACAGTTGTCTGTTTTAGCTTTTCTATTTTAAACCATCAACAATTTGAATTAAATATGTGCTACAACAACTTTTAGCTAGATTTAACTGATAAGTAACCTAAATAACACTTTAATGTTTCAATTTATTTGTTTTGTACTTTTATGGAAAATACTCCTCTATGTTTGCAGCTCCCTAATTTCATCATTTATCATAAGTTACTACATTAGAAAGCCTTTATACTGTTGATACTAGTTTTATAAACAATTCTAGGAAAGGGATCTTACAATATCAGGTATCCATGGTATCTGCCGCAATTCTCTTTGGCTGCATTTTCATACAATATTTTATTTTACACTAGAAAATTCGTATTCCTGAAACAATGTCTCACCTTCATGTTCAGCTTACTTAATACTTTTGCTCTAGAAAAAATTCCAAAAGGAATTTTGTTAATGCGGTTATGTTCCATATTGAGAGCATAGATAGTAGAGAACTGTGAAGGGCCACCAACAGGGTAAGATTGAAAACAGTTCCTTGCCAGAGTTAGACTAGTCAGATTCACAAGACTGGATAAGAGACCCTGTAAGAGCAAAGTGAACAAATCAAATTATATATTTTATGTACTCTAATCTCCTTGTAGTTGAATAGATATTTTTCTCTTATATGCAGCCTAGCTATCAAAGTCTATTCAAAAAGAAATGTCTTTAAGAGTGATTCTTTCTGCTATTGATAATATCTTTAATAGCTGTAATGTTTGCATTTCTGACATAAAATAAAAAATGTCATTCTCCAGAAGCAATTTAAGGAGTAGCTACAATGTTCCATATAATAAGGGAAGAGGTGACAGACAAACTTGCCAATCTTTTGAATTGCCATATTGTCAGGGGATTCTTGTTCCAATTCTAAGATATCTGAGGCTACTGGGGGAGATTTAAGCCTTTAGCCAAGAAAAAGATATTATCTTTGCCTGAATGTTAAAATGTATAACTTTAAAGGATGCAGAGATATTAAGCATATGAAACACTAATCATTTATTTATGTCATTTTTAAGGAGAAAATATTAATCCCTAGACTTTGCATAGCTGACTTTTCAGATCTTGAATGTTTCCAAAAACTAGTTCAAGGTTCAAGGCTATCATAATAGATTTTGAAATGCACCAGTATTTTGAGAATTAAAAGTTGAATGTATTATTGTTAAAAGAATCCCAATTTAAACAATTTGTGAATACAGTTGGACAACCAGATAATATTTTTCCAGCTAATATTTTAAAACATGTTTACTCAACAGGCATTTCATCATTAAAAACTTAGTGTGTTTTGCAATTCTGCAGTTTTCTTTCGAAATGCATTTTCTTTCTTCTGCAGCCAAAGTGATATGCTTTAATGGATTACACTACTATGCTAATAAGTGGCTCTTTTCAGCAACAGTTATAAATTATATACAAATCAGCACTTAAAAATGCAAAATTCTATTTGTTAAGGGTGTTTTAGACTGGGAGCCCATTTATAAAGTAATCTGACTTCCAGTCAGTTTCTTTTGTATGTTTAATTACTCTTAAGTAACTTCCATAATGTTCTTGGGAGGGGAGATTAATTACTAAGCAACTTTCTCCCATTAGCAAAGTCTACAAGCGATATTTATTCATTCCCAATCAGTTTTAGTATTAATAATTTATATAACATTTGATGGATTTCAGTGCTTTATTTCTATATCATTTCTTATTCAATGCCAATTCTAATCATTCACATCAACATTATATCACTTTAAACTGAAATATTAATCCATATTTGTGTTATACAAATATATAAGTAACTTTACAATTGTCATGCCAGATTTCTTCTTCCATGTTGTTTTTTGTGGAAACGGAATGCAAATAAGTAAATTCACATTTTTGTACTTTCTGATTCTATGCAATTGAACACCCATAAACTGAACAATTACCAGTTCCACTCAAAGAATCATGTTTGCAACACAGAGCTCCTACTGCATTTGCAGAATAACCTAGTGAATTCTTGTTTTATATATAATTATTTTATTCATGTATTTGTATTTTAAATTTAAAATAAAAGTGATTTGACGTGAAGATGAGGGGGACATTTCCAATCTCCAGAATAAAGCCATATTATTTGAAATAATAATATTCCAAAATCTTATTTGGAATAATATTCCAAATCTTGGTTTATAATTTGGAAGTATTTGCTGATTATCTTGGTTTATTTTAACAAGCATTTAATATTGCCTTTTTAAATGTTTTTAATGTATTTGTACATTGTCAAGAAATCTGCATGAAGTCCAGGTCGACTCATGTGGATGATTATAATGGCTACTAAATTTGAAAATTTTTGTAAATTTGATTTAGTTTCATTTATCACATTTAGAAACTACCTATCTTCCTAACAGAGCAACCTTAAGCATTATAAATCTTTAGAACTCAATCATTCAATGTGTTATTTGGCAATGTTAAACAAATCAAAATCTTCTTTCTCTCACATGTCCTCCGGTTTACTTTTCAAGATTAAACTAACATTATGAAGCCAGAATAGATTCAGGTGGTTTCTACATTTAATAAAATAAATAAGCAAATTCTGTCCTCAAGATGTTTAGTATTATAAAATTTATGATGAAGAAGCTTTTATTATTTTATTTTACTCAAATTGAATAATTTATTTTTATTACAGGGACTCCTACAAGTGTCTTACCTCTGGCAAAGTAGAAATAATGTTATTTTCCAAATTTAACTCATCAAGTTTACTGCACTGTGCTAGAGTCCTGGGTATTGCTGAGAGACGGTTATATCTCAGACCAAGGCTTTTCAAAGTAGATAGATTTCCTGAAAACAAAACAAAATGTTTAAGAATCTTATGTTTAGAAACTTGTACTAGCTGTATTTATTCTTGGGAAAGGTAAGTCCCTCTTTCACTTTATTACTGTTTATTGAAAAAGACATATTCTTCTCACACAAAGATATGAACAGCTTGAACATTAGGATTATTTACCAACATATAAATATACAATTCTAACAAATTAATCAGTATTTCAACAATATTCAATTAGTCAACATAATTTTCCACCACTGTGCTTTGCTTTCACAGCTATCTCCCCAGCAATACTTTAAATGCATACATCTAAATGCTTTGTTTCTTTTTAATCATTGCTGGCTGTCGTCACCACAGTACTTAAGAGCAATTTACACATTTTTAGATTACTAAGATAAGCATTCCCTTATGAGAGAAGAGGCGACATTAATACATTTCAAAAGCAGTGAGACAAAAAACTTTGCAAATGAACTTCATGCCAAAAGCTAATGAATGAAAGATCTTCTGTTGTCTGAAATTTTTTACATACCCATAAACCTATTTCTGAGTGTATAGATATTATTTAGTGCAATAATGAGTACTGGGGAAACACTGTCAAGGTAAACTATTTTATGTACAAAACCCTTAGTTTGTTCGTAAATGTGCACTAAATATGAAAATACATAATTGCAGCAACTTACACCAGTTAAATACAATATTCAAATGGTGTCCTTTTCATTATTTGCACAATGAATAGTAATTATACAAATGTCATAACTTGGTCCATTGATTTAGAAAGTCTGCTAAATCAACATTTTATTGTACTGTTTATGCCTGAACTAATTTATCTTACCCTTTCAGTTAACAGGGAATGCTGCATAAAGTATGGGTAGTAAATTAAAATTAAAAATTAAAGCTGGTATAGAAGGTTTTCCTTTTTATTTCACTAACTCTTAATGATTCAAGTTACCAAACAATGATGGCAACAATGATATATGGAAAACTTATTTGGAATGTAAGAGAAGTAAATGGTTAAATGAATGCATACATGCATACATGATTGAATGAACTGAATTAATAATCTGTATTAAAAGAAATGCAGTTATGTTTTAGTTTGAGAATTTAAGAGAATTTAAGAAAAAGGAAGATATAACCAACAATGTGTAGATCTAATGGACTGATAAACACACTCTTGATGAGTGAGAAGTACAAGGACGATGTTAATTTCTAAATGAAGGATAGATTTGGACAAAAAGAAACAAGAGTGAAAAAGAACAGCTACAGGAATAGATAACTTCATGTAAGAAAACAACTGTTGCAAAATATGATGAAAGATATTGTATGCTGGGTGGGTATACAGAGAAAAAGATAAGTGCAAATAATGTAGTCTAAGAACAAGGATCGATTTTAAAAACCACAGCAATATCAGTTTGATGGGAGTTTTAAAAGTTTCAGAAGTGGAGGAAAACAGCCAAATGAGAAGGCTCCAATAGAATTTATAGAATATTATTTTTAAAAATAAAAATGATGAGGTGACTTTGGGGTTACATTGACATGAGGAAATGCTGGAAAGAGTATTGTAGAGATTTGCATAAAAGGATGATTTGCAGACTGGAATCAAAATAAATGAAATCAAAGTTACTGTCCTTTACAAAAAGAAAGTTAGAAATGCTGCTAAAACCCTGAAACATGCTACATTTCAGCTACAGATGGGATGAATACCTGGCAAAATATTAAAATATGAATGTGGTTTGTTTATAGTGATTGTGATTCTTGTTTAACATGATTGTTAAGCCTTCTCCTATGCCCGGAATGGGAAGAATATAGTTACTGTTCTCTTACACAAAGGAAAAGATAATACCACAATGGAAAACTTACAGATGAATTAGTCTTGTATATGCTAAGGAAGGTATTTGATAGAATTCTCACCCAAAACCTATGAGACCTAACAGCAAGCAACAATTTGGAAAATTCATAGAAGCCTTATTCTATGGATATGCAGATCAGATTTTTGTAGTAATTGCTATTTGTGAGAAATGTATGGCTTATGGAAAAGAAAAATGTTTGAAAGAGAAATGAAATATATATTTGAAAGTTATATATAAATGGTGAAAAATGAGAGCAACTAGAAGGCTTAGTTCTTGGACATCTTCAAGATGTAGTGTATTCTTGTTCAAACTGAGCCAATGGACAGTCATTCTGTGAGGCCCCATTCTTCAGGAGATATGTCCAAGAAACCTCCTCAGTTATGTTTTTTGTGTTTTTATTTGATTTTATTTTTATGATTTCATTCAGATTGCATTTTAGTGTGTTTTATTGTAAGCCAACCAGAGAGCATCAGTTTTTAAGGCTGTTTTTAAAAATAATAATACATAAGTAAAATTACTCTTTGAGATGGACATTTCTCACTTTCCTGGAAGCATATGCTTTTCTGCTCATGAAAACTAATATTTCTTTCATTAAAGTCTTAACATAATTACAAAGAAGCCATCACCAAGGAGATGTTTCTACCTCAAAGAAAAGACACATGTGACAGAAAATACATTTTTAAAAATACAAGTAACAAATACAATTTCAAAATCTTTTACATAAAATATCAAGTAATTTTGTTACCATTGCCATATTAACTGTATCAACTATTATCGTATTTATAACACATTGGTATGAATACCGTACCTATATTTATATTTATTATAAATTGATTCATGTTAAGAATGAAAGGGGAAAATGATAAAATATAAAACAGGTAAGTATCTAAAACAAAGCAAAACAAAACATCAGACTGATAATACTTTAAAAACTGAGTAATATCACCCTAACTTATATACCCTAATCCTAACTTTGGGTATATCTGAATTTAGCAATTCTAACCAACAAAATGATCCTTCTATATTGAAAAACTGATTTTTCAGGCTATTTGCTTCTCAACGCCTTATGTTTACCACATACTTCCTGTGGTAATTTCACTGTGGCTGCAAAGTGGCTTATCGTTCCTTAAAATATAGCAAGCAATACGGGTTAGTCCTTGACTTACGGCCACAATTGAGCCCAACATTCTGTTGTTAACCGAGACATTTGTTAAATGAGTTTTGCCCCATTTTACACCTTTCTTGTCACAGTTGTTAAGTCAATCATTGAAGTTGTTAAATAAATAACCCAGTCTTAAGTAAACCTGGCTTTACCATTGATTTGCTTTTCAGAACATTGCAACAGATGATCACATCCCTTTGGAACACTGTATAAATATGAACCAGTTCCCAAGCGTCTGAATTTTGATCACATGATCATGGGGTGACTACAAAGGTTATAAGTGTGAAAAATGGTCATAAGTCACTTTTTTCAGTGCCGTTGTAACTTTGAAAATTACTAAATAAACTGTTGTAACTCGAGGGCTACCTTTACATGTTGCCTATCTATCTTTCTATAAAATCATAACAATTCTTCACATGAAATAGTGCTTCAAACACAAAAACCAGCCGTGTTACTTTTACAGACGCAGCAACAATCTGTCAAGTCTGGTCTTGTTTGTCATATTATGGATACTTTGAGAATCAAAGCCTGGAACATTCTTACTATGACTCTGAATGTTTGTTGCTGAAAAAGAAATGCAAATCTTTGTCAGTTTTTTTCTAAATTTTAGCATGTTGCTGAAAATATTTTTTTGTATCACTCTCAGGCTGAGGGAGTGTCCATTAGTATCTAGTAGTTATTTTCTAGAAAAACTCAGGCAAGCATTATTTAAATAGAAAAAGCCTGTGACCTATCTATCTTCTTTATTGTTTTAGGATATAGTTGGGGGGGGGGGAGACCAGAAAATCCTTATATTTGCAGGATAGTCATAACAAACAAGCTAAGCTACTGCCGAGGACAAGAAATTGCTCATTCAAAATTAAAAATTGTGTTTGGCTACCTAGCATAGCATTAGTACTCCAGAAAGAGACTAGGTACTAAAATAAACAATGAAGCCAAAGCAAGATTTTGCTCAAGTGGTTTAAGAGATATCTCTTCCCTATTTGGCCTGGATTTGTTCTGAAATAAAGAGCTCTTGTCATGCTTTTTTTAAACTTAAAAATTCAAGGTAAGTATAATTTGGGATCAAGCTCAATTCTGATGACTGAACGACATGTTTTCTTGACATATAAGGCAACGCTTTTGCCTTCAATCTCTTTTGGAAGGTTTTTCCAAATCGTTCTTTAGCCAAAAGCCCTAATTTCCAGGAACTTTGAATACTAAGACTAACCTTGCATGACTTCTGAGATCACAGTTCACTATTCTGTACATAGCTGCTAAAAACATCTATGGCCAGCCAAACTTCAAACCAAAGCAATGTATAGTTTCATATTCACCAGTTTGAAAATACTGAGATATAAATTCTCCATTCCTCACCGTTAGCAAGAAATGAATTATTTGGTAATATTTTATATAAATGTGCATATGACTGTTTCCTCAAAACAAACAAACTCTATCAACCTCATGTGAAAATGAAATAAAAATTTTAAGTACAGAAAAAAATTCAGAAATTAGGAATTGAAGTTGAGAGTACTTTCCAAACCTATTTTGCAATCACTATGTCTTACCATATAATTTATAGGTTTTCCTACATGAATTACTTTTTCACATATGAAAACTGCAGTATTTTAAATGGATCTTACAATACAAATCTACCTATGTTTACATAACCAAATTTTAAATGAACTTATTGCAAATAATCAACAGGACACCTATGATAAAATTGCTTATTTACATAATTATAGGCATATGTGAATTGTTAGTTTGCTTATATAAATTTTAAGCCTAAAAAAGAGCCAATTTGGCGTAGTTAAGATACTGATCTAGAAACCAGACAACAGTGAGTGCTAGTCTATCACAAGGCATGGAAATCCATTGTGTGATTTTCAGTTGCTCTCTTAGCCTAACCCAACTCATAGGGTTGTTGTTGTTGGAAAAATAAGGAAAGAGAGAAGTATGCCTTGAATTGTAAAAAATAAAGGCTGAATATAAATTTAATAATTGAATTACTGATATTTTTACTTACCTATAGTGTCTGGAAGGTCCAAAAGTTCATTGTGCTGTAGATCAAGTTTAGTGATCTGTGTGCAATTGCCAATCTCCTTTGGAAGATGTTCAAGCTGATTGTGGGCTACATCCAGCGTTATGAGGTTACACAACTCACCTGACAATGAACAAAGTCACATTGTTTGAGATTTTGTAGTAAAACGGGATACGTGTTTTTTCAATATTTAAATAATGTCTGATGGATTACAAAGGATTATAGCTAAAATTAAGAAAACACAAACAATATAAAGACACACACATCAAGTAATACTATTTTTTAACATTCTTGAATGTTTTAATATCCCATTCCATTGTATGTTTTGATTGTTCATTTTTATTAGAATTAAATAAATAAAATAAAATGATTAGGAATTACTAGAATAATTTATTTTTAAAACAATCCAATGCAGCATGTTGTTGTTTGAACCCAAACACTTTAACTGAGTTTTAAAACTCTGTACTACACAGAAATTTTTTAAGAAAAGCCATGTTATTGTGTCCTGGAGTTCCAAGATATATCTCCATAGTTTCATAAATTCTTGCAATAATGAGGAAACTGTATACAAATAAATAAAATTAACATTTCTATAAAATTATTTGTAGTAAAGAGAAATATTGGATTAGAGAAATGCTGTCATATTCAACATGTTCCAGTTTTCAATTTATAATTTTAAAAAAATGAAGTAATTCATATTAATGTCCTAACAAAACCAACAAATACCTGCCTTATGTTAAGTATTATTATATTTTATTTTTATTATGTAATTTTTATCATTTAAGATTTTAAAAAGAACAATTGGACAATAGTATTTGAAAAAGAAGCATCTTCCAGTGTTCTTTTCTTTTGCAGAAATGCTTGAAGAATTCAGATAATTCCCAAAAAGTATTCTTAAAAAAGATATTCAACCAAAAGTCCAAGCAAGTTACATAATTAGAAATTACACAGACCAATTTATATTCTGCTATACTGAGCATCAATAAAATAAACAGACAGAGGTCTCGTGTCAGCTATCAAACAAGAAAACTAATAATCACTTGCCAATATCTGATAATTTATCCCTTTTTAAATTGTTCTGCAGAAAACCAGTAAGAATTGTACCTAGCAGGACAATCCACCAACTAGCTGGAATCCATGAGATGCCCATGATAAGCCAAGTCAAGAATGAAAATAATGTGCAATTTGACACCTCTCACAAGGGACTAATTATACTTTTCCACATTTTCAGATCATGCACCATCTGTTCCAAAGTGAACACTAAGTCTAATGAGTTATCCACCCAGGAATCAAAGCTGAATAAAGGCTGAGATAAAAAGGTAATGGAAAGTGAACTCTGGAACCTGAAATCTTCTCCATGTCACTAGCTCTTATTTTGCCTTGATTTACTTCCTCTTCCTCTTTTTCTCTTGGTGCCCATTTTCTCACATTCACCCCATGCAAATCCACTCCTCAGACAGGATTTCTCCCTGCAGCAGTGTATTTGATGAAAAATAATTCAAAACTTCATAAACAATATGTAAAATAGCCAATGGTCTTGGCTTGACTGTTAATTTGGTCTGTTTTTCTTACTTTTTACATTTTTAAGCAAATTGACATTTTAATGTTCCTTATATCATAATAAAGCCTGCACTAAATCATATAGGGGAAATACAGACTGTTTTCAGAAGGAAAAGTGAGCCCAAACTTGAAGTAGAGAGAAAGCATGTGGAATTAAGCTGTGCATTAGTTTCACAACAATGACTGGAAAAAAACAGAAACCATTTTTCCATAATACATTAGGCTTAGACATTAGCAGAAATACTTTTACCGTACTTTTAACGTTTTTAACAAAGTATTCTTTGCCTCAAATGTATGAGGTACTAGGTGTTATATTAATTTGCTTAATTTGCTGTTCCTGGTAATAAAGAGCAAGAGCCAGTGACACTTTATTATTTCTATGCTGTCATGTCTAGGTGCTAAAAAGCACAAGAGGCAGCACATACATCACTGGAATCCATGAGTCTGGACTGAAATATAATTTCCCTTGACATGTTGAGAGGCAGAAACAATTTCCCTATCGTTCGGGAAATGTATAGGCTAATTAGCATGTCAACTTTTGTTGTCCCTTCTACAAGCTAACAATTCAGACATATAAAATTAGACTGTTTTGCTTATAAAACTTTAATTTTTGAACTGAGAAATTATAGCATGCAAGTTCAGAATCCTTTGAAGATGTCTAGACATATACAGGATAATATTAAAAAATACAACAGAGGACCATAATAATATATTTTTATAATAAAAAAATCAATTTCAGGAAAAATGCATCTAGCAAAAAATTATTACAAGATATCTGCACTAGCCATATAAAAAAACCACACAAGCTAAACCTGACCAATATTTCAAGTTATAACAATGCCCTGAATTTGGTCAAACATACAACCATATTTCTTTCTTATTTTTAAGCTTAGCCTGTTACTATCATTTATCATTTTTCTATTCCACTCTTCATTTTTGCCGCTTCAATGTAATAGAAAATTTCATACACAGATATGGAAAGTATGAGATCTTAACAGAGGGAAATTTTGTCCATGTTTTCTTAAAAGAACAAACAAATTTTATTGTTAACCTATTGTCAGGATTTTTTTTATTTTAAACTATTCTCCAAACTATACAGAGAAGAGAAAAATTATGCTATCAAATATGTTAGACAGTACAATTAGCTAGACAGCATGAATTTTATTTTCCCAATGGCAACAGCAAAAAGACTCAAGCAATCTCAAGATTTGCAACTTATCTCATATACCCGTGATGGCGAACCGACACAGGTGACACACAGACCCATTTGTGCAGGCACGCAAGCTGCAGGCAAACTTACCTCATTGGGCATGCATGCACCTCACAGCTGATTTTTGGCCGGTATGAGGCCTTTTTCAGCCTCCCAAAGGCTAGATAGAGGAAGGCTTCTGCAGGCCAAAAACTAGCGCTTCCTGTTTTTTCCAAAAATCAGCTGTGAGGCGCAGTGCAGGTAAGGAAGCGACTGGAGTTGGTGGGTGGGTGGGTGGATATTATGCATGCATGCCTAGGAGGTGGGGGTGTGCATTGCCTTCTGGGTGCTGGCACGCGAGTGCAAGCATGCAAGCCCACACACAATTTTGGGCACAGGAGCCCAAATGGTTACCCACCACTGTCATATACAGTTGGCTGGTACAGTAAGAATATGTTATAGTTTTTAAGAATGATTTTTTTTTCTTTCTCAGCCAAATATTCCACTCTGTGAAATATTTCTCTTCTCCTCTTACCTAGATTTCCTTAGTTCACTGCAGTCTTTTCCCAAAATGTACCTTGCCTCGGGCACAATTTTTTCTAAAGCATTGACAAGTTCCACTCTATTCCCAAACACATTGTGCAAACTTAAGATAGTATGACTAGAAATTATAGTTGCACTTTGAAACAAATTCATTGCAAGGATTTTTTTTAATTATAAACAGGGCAGGTTAGGTAACCTGAGGGCTGAAGGTATGCCTAAGAACAGATCTGTGTTTACGGGCATAGCATTGCTGACTTCTGAGCTAAAGAAATAATTATTTTTAAAAAGAACCTCATATATGGCAATGAGACAAATCCCAAAAGTATCCTGAAGTTTTAATTCATGTTGTTCAATCCTGAAGTAAACACTAGCTTAATTTTTTTTAAAAATGGATATATATCATAGGGGGACGCAATGGCTCAGTGGTTAAAAATACTGAGCTTGTCAACTAGAAAGCTGACAGCCGGGGTTCAAGTCTTGATCACCGCATAATGGGGTGAGCTTCTGTTAATTCCCCAACATGTGCCCACCTAGAAGTTTGAAAGCAAGTAAATAAATAGGTACCACTTTGGTGAAAAGATAACCATGTTCCATGCACATCAACGTATAATCATGCTGGCACATGACCATAGAAACGTCTACGGACAATGCTGGCTCCCTTGGCCAAGAAACAGAGATGAGCACTGCCCCGTAGAATCGTATGCAACTGGACAGGAGAAACATTTACATTTACCTTTTTATGTATTATTTCAAGTGAAATAAATCTATGAGACAATTAAAATTGTTTCAACAACTGAAATTACCATTCATTACAAATAGAATGTTGAATATGTGGTAAATTTTACCAATCTCAGAAGGAGGGAAGGCTGACTCAACCTCAAGCCCCATCAGGACAAACTCCAGACTGTGGGCAGAGTTAGCCTACAATACTGCATTCCAATCACTGTGCCACCAAGGCTTAATCAATATTAATATGTTTAAATCACTATAACTTTTGCTCATTAATAGCAGGCATACAATAATACCAATGTAAACAAGGGATAAGCATTTTATATAGGTTTTTAAGAAGTCTTACCAATTTCTGCAGGAAGTTGTTTGATTTTGTTCTCCCGTATGCTTAGCATGGTGAGATTGGACAAGTTCTTGATATCCTTTTCCACTGAAGTGATACGATTAAAGCGCAGATAAAGTGTAGTAAGGGAAGTTAGCCTATACACAACAGGAGGAATCTCTCTCAATTTGTTATGCCGTAGATCAACCATACGAAGCTGTTTCAAGTTACCAAGAGAGTCCGGAAGGCTGGTGAGTGAGTTTTCACTTAAGGCCAAAGTTTCCAGATTCACAAGACAGCCTACCTCAGCAGGTAATGACTGTAACTTATTTCCATACAAATAAAGTTCCGTCAACTGTGTTAACTCTTTGATAGATGATGGGAGCAAATGTATAGACCTCTTAGCCAAGTCCAAACGTACTGAATTTTCTTCCCGACATTTGTTTAGCTCTTTGATCACCTCAGCATTACTGGATTTTTTACGGGCACCTGGAGCTGGGTTGGGCCGTTTTATTGTGTTATCTACTGAAAAAGCCACGCCTAGCTGTGCACTACTGGAGTCCTTCTTCCCATCTTTGGCTTCCTTCCCTTTGGTCTTAGTTTCTCTGTCTTTACTTTCTTTCCCAAATCCACCAGAGGCCTTGGCCTCTTTCTCTCTTTCTTTTGCTGAAGACACTTTGGGATCCTTCTCCTTACAATCTTTTTCTTTTCCAAGACTACTACTCATTGTTCCTCAGTTTAATTAATACCACTTGAAATCCAACTTGAATTTTAATTAACAAAATCCAAAAAAGGAATTAAGATGATTCATTCACTATTAATATACAAGGAGATTTAAAAGACAAGAGTGTGGTCTAGAACTAACAAATGTGACGGCATAGTAGTTATCTGCTACATGTTTGATCCAGACAGCTTAGATAGTCAAAAAAATCTTCATCAGAAGTTCTGTAACATAATGAGAGAAAAGAGACATTAATTCATAGATGTTCTCAAAACCGTATGCTGATATGCTCTGCAAAAATGGATATAAAATCACAGATCATAACAATTCTGCTTTAATTGGTTATGAGGAATAAAAGATATATTTCCCCAAAGTGCATTAATATAAATTAGAATTTCTATTCTAATTGCATGAAAACCAAAAATCGTAACATGAATAATCAGCTGACAAAATATTTCAATGAGGCTCCTTTGCCTTGCTCTAAACTGGTCTTACATGATAGAATGCTTTGATATTCTGGAATGTAGCTATAAAACAATCACTTTAAAAGTAAGTTGAAAGTCGGGGGCTCACAATAATTCTTGCAAAAAACAGCATGGAAAATATATAAAACTAAAAAAGATGATGTTATTGTTAAATATGCTCTTGACAACTTAGCATTCCCTAATCCCGCTTAGGTTTTATCCAGTTCTAAAAAAAAAAAGTTACTTTTATCCAACTCTTCCTTTCTAGCTTTTTGTCTCACTGTCCACAAAGTTTTCCTACGTTCTGTAGTGTAGAACATTGTTTCTCAATTTTAAAATCTGAATATTTCAATTCCCAGATTTCGCATTAAGTGATGGGGAAATATGTATTTTAAAGGTACCAAGGTTGAGAGACTCTGCTACAGAAGGTTGGAGCACCTATGTGAGTACAGGTAGTCCTCAACTTACAATTCATTTAGTGACCATTCAAAGTTACAACAGGAATGAAAAAAGTGACTTATGAGTTTTTTAGACTTATGACCGTTGCAGCATCCCATGGTCATGTGATCAAAATTCAGACACTTGACAATTGGTTCATATTTATGACACTTGCAAAGTCCCAGAGTCATGTGATCAACTTTTACAACCTTCGGATGAGCAAAATCAATGGGGAAGCCAGATTCACTTAACAACTGGTTTACTAACTTAACCATTGCATTGATTCACTTAACAAATGTGGCAAGAAAAGTCATAGAATGGGGCAAATCTCACTTAACAAATGCCTCACTTAGCAACATAGATTTTGGGCTCAACTGCAGTCATAAATCAAGGAACAGCAGAAATTATCTCCATTTCTAGATATATTGAAACGGATGGACTCTTCCAAAACCAAGCAGAGAGATTTTATAATGTTCAGTCACAATTTCTAGTATTCAAACTTAAAGACACAGAAAACTTTTACTGTGAATTCCAGCTTAAAAGGTATCATAAATATCATTAAAAACTTGGATTATATGCCATTAATTTATTGTTAACTCTTAGCAAAAAAACTTTTGCCACTTCCTCCCAAAAGATGCTGATATTGAAATACATTTATTTATCTATCTTCCACAATCTAGAAAGAGTCTGGACAACATGAAATAACTTAAAAGAACAAAGTACTAAAAATCATATATAACTAATGAAAAACCAACAGAAATCAGCTGCTAAATGCCTTCTGGAATTACATTTGGCTAATTTTCAAAATGCCTGCAGAATGTGACATTTCATATTTGCAAGGTGGAGAATATTCCATAAAACAAGTCTGCACTGATAAACCTAGCCTGGACCTATGAACCTTGCAAGGGCTCCTGGGATATTTCTAGGATAGGCAGATAAAAACTGCTAAAAACAGAATCTGACTTTTTAATTGATCCTGCAAATTTTTTTCTCGCTGTTCATTAACAACTTCTTCTGGAAATGTATCTACAAAATGGAACTTGAGAATATTATCTAATTTGCTAAACCCAGAGTCAAATTAATCCAGTTAGGACACATATGCAAAGATATAAGTTTCTGAAAAGGCTCTTAATGCTGAGAAAGATGAAACAAAATGGAACAAAGGTGATCAGGCTTATTTTAGTTTATTAGCAATGAGTGCACAATTGAAAGAGATGAAGGACTAAGTTAGGGGTAGATCATCATGGAGAAAATCTATGTGGGTTGCACATAATTATCAATCAAACAGAAACTGGATGTGGAGTTTTCCACTGCATAATGATAATTTTGTTATTAGATCAAAATAATATTTTTTCCTTTCAAAAGAAAAGAAATGAGAATGGGAATATCATAGTCTTTTCTTAAGATTATGGAATTACAAATGAATTATTTGTTTAACTTCTCCAAAAACTATACAGTCCAAAATTATTTTTTAAAAGAAATCTAAGTATTTGAGGTACACGTACTCAGACCTCTTTTAATAAATATTAAAGCGAAATGAGAAAAAGGATCCACCAACCTTAATGAATGAATTACTGTCAGATGAAGAATACAATATACACACTAAATGTATTTTTATGAGACTATAAATTTTTAGTTTCTTTTATGAAATCTACATACCACACAAAAATTAGAAGTTTAATCTACTTAGCAAAGCATTTAAATGTTAAATGGTGCATTTCTTGTTGAAAATATATTAACTCAAATACAATTTCAAGCAAGTAATGTATCTGAAAGAGACATGGAAGGAGAACAATAATTATTTTCTGTTATTTCAAATCACAAGCAAGGATGTGGGTAATTATGTATATGATAAATAGAACTGGATGTAATATTTAGTAAGGTCTACACCCAAGCAATGGATAACAAAAGTTAGAAAAGCAGATGATCTATGTGATCATCTCCAAAAGAGGTTTTTTTTTGTGAGCTTATCATAGAATTGCTTCAGACACCATAGTCTTGTATTCGTCTCAAAGTTTTGTAGATGATACATGTAAAGCATATCATCTTTCTCCTTACAGCAGGGATCTCCAAACTTGGGACTTTAAGACTTCCTCCTCCAGTCATATTAGCTCAGGAATTCTGGGAATTGAAGTCCACAAGTCTTACACTTGCCAAGTTTGAAGACCCTTGCCTTACAGTATGAGAAACACCCATCAGAATTGTAATTCAACTTAAAGATTTTACTTTATTTTTTAAAATATAAAGACACAAATAAAAAGATACAAACTAGCATTTCTAGAAGACAAAACCATATTGCTAACATACATATTTAGGCATTACAATGTAACACACCCATAGCATATTCTGTGTTTGTAACCTAAAATGCACGATTTTTCCTGGTACCTTTTTTTCTTAAAATATAACAAGTTATTTTTCATCTTCAATAAGCTGGTCAGATCACTAAATTAATACATGCCGCACAAGATACTACAGTCCAAATTCTGTTTCTGAATTTGCAATTCCAAACTTAAACTTAATACAGTTATGTTTTCTGTGAATGTGTCACAGAAAGAAGTATTTAGTCTGGGTCCTAAAAATTTATCTCCACTGTAGACAGAAACTAATCTGCAAAGTATTCAGAGCACAATCCTTTTATACTGTATTACCTCGTTTCCAGCAATTGGAAACAGTTTGTACACCATCCCATGTGGTTTCTCAGCACGTACCATTTTGAGTTCTTTATCACAGTTGTCATGGTAATCTGTGCTGCATTACAATTTTGCATAATCTGTTAAATCTTGAAAGCCATGAATTGCTATGAGTGATGGTCTTATCTACCATCTGATAACACCCACATTACAAAAATGCGAGCACTAGTGACATATTTGTTGATGGAAGGGAGTAGATGAAAAGGTTGACTGGAAGCCAAGTTGCACCAATTTGAGTTTTTTAAAGCAGACACACATTCAAGAATATGATTAGCAAAATGAAAAACCGACTCACACAAAGAGACTCTCTTCTGTAACGTACACTTCTAGATTGCTAGATACAGCAAAATTATTTCATTTTTCTCTTTATTCCAAGGAGAAAAATATAAAAAGGCAAGCCAGATCAGAGCAAAGACTTATCCAGCACAATGTTCTTTAGTTAACTAGTTAACACCCAGATATCTACATTAAGCCTACAAAATAAGGAATGAACACCACAATGAACTCTTGCTTTCTTTTCTAGCAAAATGTTACATGAAACACATGCAAATTAGGCTTCCAAGTGATCTTTGAAGGCATTACCATGTGGATTGTGTTGCAATAAGCCAGGTGGCTGATGATAAATAAAGGTATGAGTCATTGTAGCATTGCCTCATCTCCATCAAGTGGAGTTGCAACTGACACTCTAGCTGAGATAAAAACAAAAGCCCTCTGCCCATAGGGCCAAATGTTTCAAGAAGACCCTGGAGTCGTGGACTTCCTGTTTCAGGGATAATGCTTACCTATCCAAAGATATCAAAACTCTAAATTCTAACATACTTTCTACAATTGAATTTTATCTTATTCTCTCCAATCTACACTCTCAGCATCCAAGCACAAAGGCAAGGCTACTATGCTACCAATTTGGCCCAGATTAATAAATTATCAAGTAGTAAATTAATGGAACCAAATCCTGAACTGCCAGGTAATTGTTCTCAGTGGCTTCATGTATATATTAAGGAGGAAAAGAAGACTGCCTCCTCTTGCATCCGACAAGCAGCCTCCAAGCCAGCTTCTTCTCTCCTGCCTCTCTCCTACCCTTTCCATTGAGGAAGAAGCAAAATCGCTGCAGAAAGTGTCTTCAATCACCAGCTCCCCAAGTTGGTCTAAAAGATTACCATGAGCAAAGCTTCTAAAAGCCATATTTTAGTATCTTTTAGTGTCTAAAAGAAACAGGACAGGTGCACTGCTCTCATCCAAGTCTACAAAGGTTATCCACTGTACAACCAAAGCTCTTTCCATCCCATCCTGAACTCTGATAAAAGACCCAAATACGCCACTTCTTTCAGGGTGTTCTTGTGGTTGGCGTCTCACCTCTTTTTGAACCTTTCCTAGAAAAGGAAAGGTTGAAGACTGACAGTAGGTTTTATAAAGTTACTATGAGATGTTCTAGGAGTTGGTAATATACCATGATGCATGTTTCATTTCTTGAGCAGTAGCCAATTAGTCTAGTGCAACAAACCAATAATAATCCATTATCATGGATGTCAAAAGTAAAATGGAATGTTTCTGTCTTCAGACTTCCACAAAATCACACAAGTCAGCACTTTACTGTGAAGCTCAGCAAATTCAGATTTATATCTTAGCTGCATG